CCTCGCCTTCCTGCAGGCCCCGAGCGCTGGGCTTGCTCGGGGCGTCTTCCGCAGGGAACCCTGCGGATGAGGTGGGACGGCTTTCTAGGGGACTCAGCAGGAAGGGCAGGGCGGGGGGTGGCCTTGTGAAAGGTTTAGCTGGGTGGCAGGGGCTCGTAGGGGACCCAGGAGGTGGGGTGCGCTGGGGGGATAGTCCCTGTAGGCTACCCAGCAGGCTGGTAGGGGCAAGGTTGAGTTGGGATGTGTCTCATAAGGGCTCAGCGTACAGGTGGGATGGGGGTCTCTTCCCCTAGAGGACCTACCAGACCCAGCAGATAGTGTAGGGTGTCTGCTGTAGTGTGCCTGGCAGCTTGGGATGGGGCCCTTCCCATAGGGTACCCTGCACGTGAGGTGGGATGGGAGGCTGAGTGCTGTAGTGTGCCTGGCAGCTTGGGGTGGAGCCCTTCCCATAGGGTGCCCTGCACGTGAGGTGGGATGGGAGGCTGATTCCCAAAGGGAACGCCCGTCGGACATGGCGGAGGGAGTCTGTCTGCCGTGTACAGTTCTGGAAGGGAGGAGGCTGAGGCGGATCTGAGTATCAATGATGAAGCTTCTCTGACTGCTGCATACGGCTGAGTTTGCTGTGCGGATACCAACCTTGGAGAGCTGAGGACTCAGAACCGTGCCTTGCCTTGGCCAGGTGGGCTCCGTGCCATCCTCTGACCACACTGCTCTCCATGCAGGTATCTCCAGGGACAACTGGCATAAGCGTCGCAAGACTGGGGGCAAGAGGAAGCCCTACCACAAGAAGAGGAAGTATGAGTTGGGGCGACCTCCTGCCAACACTAAGGTGGGTGATTTGGGGAGGGTGGTCAATAGCTGTGTTTGCAAACTCGGGTTGCTGGTCGTGTGCTGTTGGAGTTTCAAATATGTGCTGTGTTTTGTAAGTGGTTAAAGATCTGTCGCTGCTTCTTTAAAAGGTGGTATTTTCCTCTATGCCCGCAGAAAGCAGCGATATGTTTTTGCAGTAAAAGGCAACTGGAGTGATGAAATTTTCACCTTAGGTAGATGCCACAGACCGTTTTGGTCACTTACTGTATCTGCCGATGCTGGGGTTTGTCATAGTTACACTGACCACATTGCCTTTGAGCTTAGGAGTTGGCTGGGCTCCTGCATGAGCTGTGCAGCGTCCCAGCACCAGCAACACCCTGGTGTTTGTTTCTGACCGTAGATTGGCCCACGCCGAATTCATACAGTGAGGGTTCGTGGCGGAAATAAGAAGTACCGTGCCCTTCGGTTGGATGTTGGCAACTTCTCCTGGGGATCGGAATGTAAGTACATCGTAAGCCTGATGTGTTGGAAGGGAAAAGTTTCACAGTTGTGCTGGTCCCTGGTACTGCTGCAGAGTAGAGGGATGATGATGCAGGTGTGGGTTTGTAGGCTGGGCTTGAACATCGTGGAGCTTGCGGTACCAGGTCTGAAGCAGCATGCATAGTGATGATAACTTTGACCTTATGTGGCCTTAGGAGACTTGGATGTCTGCTAAGTTCACAGTGATTGGAGTGTCATAGTTACACTGAGTGACATGCTCGTGTTACCTTTTTACTGGGGGAGAACTACGGAAGGGCAAAAAACCTAAATACGCGTAGCTCTTCACAAATGCAACTTCTAATGTTTATTGATGAACACGTGCTAAAAGTTAGGCGGTCCTGTACAAGAGGGAAAGGTGTTGAGGATTTTGTCCTAGGGCCCCACCTTCTCAGAAAAATCCTGGCATGTGCAGTTTACTTCATACTCCTGCTTTGCTAAGCAAAAGCGAGAAGCACAGAAGGGAGAGAGGCGTCTATAGTGTTTCCCCTGAGCAAGGTGGAATTACAAGGTGGAATTCTCTGAATTACAAACTGAAAACCATGTAACTTGAGCCCAGGCCTGTTCAGTGTTACTCAGCGTGATGGCAAAGCCAGCAGTTAGTAAGGTGGCGCTTCAGTGGCCAGCGTGGTGTGAGGGAGAAAGGACATGCTTTCTCCTCAGTCATCACAGAGTGTTGT